TAACTAAATTAAAATTATATTAAATTCTTAAGAATCTGATTAATAATAATACTATAAAAATTAAGATTATAAAATAAATTAAAAAAGATTAGAAAAATGGATAATTATACAAATAAAAAGATATTAACTAAAAGAATATAATTCAATAACTTTAAAGAATTATTAATATTAGAATAGAGATTATATAATCACACTAATATTTATATTAATATTTCAATATTTAAGTATAACGTGGTTTATATACGAGTGGATCATATCACCGAATGGATCACTTCAAAATCACACCAAATTCAAGGTTTTATTAATATTCATATTCTAATAATAAATCAATATTCAGAAATCAAATTTTTATATAAAAATTCTTATTATATTATTGAAACTGTTATGTTTTTTATTACAAAGAAGTTAATTTAATAATAACTCTTATATTTATTCGAATTTTCAAAATCTAATTAGATTTTTAAAATTCTTATAGATTTAAATATTATATATTAGATCTTTGAGATTTTATATTAATAAATAAGGGAAGTGTATAGTTATGTATAGACAAATTTTGTATGTAAAATGAAGTAATTCATTTGGTGATATAATCTACTCGTATATGAACTACGTTAGATGTATTGTAGTTCTAGTTTTTAAAACCTTAAGTAATATTATAATAGTGTGAATCATAGTATTATATTGTCTTTATCATCCTCATGGTGATATCAATAAATATATTACTTAAATAATACTTAAGGAGTAATATAATAAGAGGTAGTATTAGAATAATTATTTATATATATAAAAAGTAAGAATATTATTGAATAGTCTTAGCTGAATGTTTATATATATAATAAGGTCATTTATTATCTTATTAGTATAATTATTAGTACTAGCTGTCTCTTCACACTTAATTAATTTCTACTAAGCTGTAGATACTTTTAAGAGTAAATTGATATGTTTACTCTTAGTCAAATATCTCTATTACCCCGTCACTATGCGATTTTGAATGATTCTACTCAAACAAATCTACTCCCTCATTGATTTATTTAATTAATAGTTTATTCATTTCTTTATAAACTTATATAACGTGGTTTATCATCGAATAGACCATATCGTCAAGTAGGCTATTTTTCTTTCAATTTACATCTTCAAATCTATATTATTTAATAATTATTAAATCAATTAATTGAAATTATTAAGATTCTAATAATTTAGGATTTATTATATTATTTTGATAAATTCTTATATTATGTTTAGTTTTTCTATATTTATTATAATATTGATTAAAAAATGTTTTTTTATTAGAATTCCTTTTTTTTTTATATTTATTATATTAAATCTAAATATTAATTTTTTGTTAAAATAATATATTAAAAACTTTTTATTTAATAAATATTTTATTTAATATAATTAAATTTTCTTTATATATCAATATTTACTTAATACTTCATTTATTATTTGAAATATATAGATCTCTATATTTAAAAATACATTTTTATAAACTAATCTTTTTATATTTTTAATTAAAATTAATATAGTTTTGAATATAGATATAAAAAAACTTAATTAATAATAAATTATTTGAGATTTGATTAATATTAATTAAAAAAAAGCTTTAATTGGATTATAAGGGATTTGAGAGATTTATTGATTTAAATTAAAAGAGGGGGAAGTAGGTGTACAATTTTGAATATCTAATTTCGAAAATATAGTTTCAGAATTAAATAGAATTAAATCTATTTCTCGAAATTTTGATTTCATATTTTGAAAAATAATTGATTTTTTATATATAGTTTTAAAAACTATAAAAAATTCAATCTTTAAAATATAATTAATATATATTTTAATAAATTTATTAATTTAATTATTATATAAATATTTTAGATTATTAAAATAGCTTATATTAAATAGTGAATTAAATAATTTAAATATAATAATAGATTTAAATATATAATATTATTCTCTTTATAATATATTTAAAAAGCTTTTGATTTATAACTTTTATGCCCATTTAATATTAATATTTGATATTTATTCTTTTTTTGGTTTTTAATATATTTATTGAAATATTTCAATTATTTTAAATTTATTTTATTATTTATTTATTTATTAAATATAGGTTTAATAATCTAATCTATAGGAAAGTTAGTTTTAATATATTAATTGAAAAAATAAATTTATTCTTAAATCATTAGAAATGAGGGTATAATTTCATTTTTCCTATTATTATATATAATTATTATAACTCATTTTTTATTATCTAATTATATTATTTTGTTTCTATTATTTTGTTTAATATTAATTATAATTATTCCAAAGTATATTATATTTATTATAAAGCTTGTTTTATTGAAATTGTAGAAATCACTATCCAAAATACTATATTTCGCTTATATATTTGTAATTAATCGAAATTATTCTTTAATAAGCTTAGAATCTTTATAAAGAACTTTTTAAAAATCATAAATATAACTAAAATATGTTTTTAATTTGATTTAATATTTTATGAATTAATATATTTAAAGTTTTCTAATATATTTTGTATCCCTCGATTTGAAAATATAATTTATTATATTTTTTATATTTCTTAATTTAGATAGAAAATTTCTTGAATTTATATTAAAAATATATTAAATAATTACTTTTTTTTTTAATTCTGTAATATTATAATAATTCACTCAAATTTTTATATAAAGTGATAAATTATTCATTTTATATTAAAAAGTTGTATAAGGGATATTATAGAGTTTAAAAGCTTTTCAAATATTTAGTTTTTTATCTTTATAAATAATTTCGATAGTAAAAAAGATTTGGGCTTTTTGATTAATTAATTTTATAATAATTATTTAATAAATTATATATAGAAGTTGAAGGTATAAATTGAGGGAAAAGTGGCTTACTCGATGATATGACCTACTCAATAATAAACCACGTTAATTAAAAACTCTTTTATTAAAATTCCAATTAATAATAATAAATATCAAATCAACAAAAAAGTTTTTATATATAATAACTTTTATTATTATTATAATAATAATTATAAAAATTATAAAAAGAAATGTTTTATTAAAAAAAGTTAGATATTATTATATCCAAAATATACCACTCAAAGTTATACAAAAATCTTTGAAAATAAACCTCAAAAATTATTTATTAGTATATGGGTTTAAATACTATTTTATTTTTGTATATTTCTATTTTATATAAATTATAATAATTAATTATTTTAAACTTGTAAATAAATTTTCTTATTTTATTGATAAAATATTTTTGAGAATTACTTCTATTTTCGATAATAACAATATATCTATAAAATGAATTAATTTAAATTTTATTTTATAAATAATAATAATTAAAATATAATAATATTATTTATATTTCTGGCTTAAAAGAGTATATGATTAACTTTTTCAAAGTAAAGAGTAATGATTATATCTGAATTTGTAACTTCCTTTCTCAAAATATAAATACCACTCAGATTCTGGTTTATAAATATAATATATTAATTACAATTCCAAATTCCAAATATTTTATCTCTGAATTAATAAGAGATTTCCTTAACTCTATCAAAATCTTTCATATAAAAGCAAAGATTTTCATTATCAATTTCTATCCATCTTTTTATATACTAATCATAAATTTATAAATGAGTTAGCGACCACTTATATTTATAAATCATAGCCTTAAAGATTTGTTAATAAAAAAGATCAATCATCTCTCTTTATCTTTTAATATTCTATAAACTAATAATTAAACTTCTAAACATTATATAAAGTTTGAAAGAATAAAGAAAAACTGAATAATAAATATTTCTATAAATTATTTTATTTTTTAATATTTTTTGGAATTTTTAATTTAGGGATTAAATTGAATTATTTAAAAGAAATTATAATTGAACAATTTAATAATAAATTGATTCAAGATTTTTGTTTAAATAAGGAATTAGAACCCATAATATTCTTAAAAAGACTTAAAAAAAGCTTTTTTGAATACTATAAAGAATAATAATTTAAGATTATCTCTTACTATAAAAAAAGAAAAATTATTATAATTCAAAAGGTAATTTAAGAATTTTCTTTTATAAAATCAAATTATTAATATATTTGAATAGGTAAATGATATTATAATAAGAGATGGATTACTTTGTTATATAGTAATGGAGGATTTAGTTTATCAAATTGATTATATAAATTCAAAATCTTTTAAAAAAGGTTCACTTGATAAAAACCATATTAATCTGGTTAAATTTCTTTATTTATTTAATAGCGATTATTAAAAAATATCCAATAATTTGGAAAATCTTGTTTTCAAAGTATTTCAAATCGTTGAAGCTAGATTTCTTTTAGTAAAGAGTATATAATTTCTAAATCATATAATGTTAAATTAATAAATCTGATATTTTCAAGAATTCTCTGTAAATAAAAAATGCTATTGGAATAATCTAAATATTTCTTTTTATAGAAATTTCAAAGAAATTAAAAAAGTATGAATGGTAATTGAGAGAACTCTATAATAATTGGTTTTTGATTAATTCTTAGAATTCCAAAATTGTTCCAAAAGATTTTAAAGAAGTGATTTTATTAAATAATAAGATTATAATTAATTATATATCTTATTGATTATTAGAATTTTTAAATAAAGAAAATTTATTTTATTCAATTTTGTAATAGATTATTTCTAAGAATAATAAAGATCTCAAACTAAAATTATTTATTATTTTTTATTATTTAATTTTATAAATATTATCGATTATATCAAAAGCTTTTAAATTGCTTTCAAAATGAAAATTAAAAAAAAGAATTTTTAAAAACTTCTTTAACAATTTTTGAAAGGTTTTTTCCGATGTAATTTCAATAGATATATATAATCTAATTTATTATATTATTGATGGACTTAATATTTATGGTACAGAAATAAAAAGTCTTTTTAAATATTTAAATGAATATTTTAAGACAATTTACATTGGAGAACCATTTCTAGAACTACTTTGTATAAATAGGCCGGAAGAATTTGTAATGGATATTGAATTTTCTCCTTTGAAAACTCTTTATACTTCAGAGGAGGACTTGACGATATTTATTAAATCGGAGCTATGTTCATTTAGAACAAAATTCACCGATGATATAAAAGAATACATTTTGAAAGCTGTCAAAGAGAACGCAGGTATAACATTTCTTTGAATAAATATACTCCTTCGCGAAGTTCAAGGTTTGAGATTACCCTCTCGCAAAGATATTAAGGAGAAAATGAAACAATTGCCTATAGAGATCAACGATTTGTACAAAAGCCTTCTTCAGAAAGTGTTAGGAAGTCTAAAGGATATAGTAATATTAATCTGAATAATATATGCAATACGTCTACTTAACTTTAAGAAATTAGAGATTGCCCTTGCCATTGATATAACTAAAAACACAACAAACTGAAAAAACTATAAAAAAGAAAAAATTATATTGAATACTGAAATTATCCAAACAAATCTAAATAGCTTAATAAATATCATTAACCCAAACCCTTTTCTAATCCATCAAACATTATATGATTTTCTGAAAAGTTCAGGTATATTGAAAAAAATAGAGATATTAAATCAATTTGAACAATTAGAAATGCTTTTTGCTAATATCTATATATTCTATCTGGATTTTGAGGATATTATAGAATTTAGTCTATTGACAATAGAAGATGAAGATTCAATAGAAAACAAAGAGCACTTTCTTTCTTACACCGCAAATTTCTAATATAAGCATATTAATATCTTAAAAGAAGTGCAAAACAATATAGGATAATTAAAATTTATTTTAAATACAAAAGAATAAACACTCTGAGTAAGCAGAAACTAATATTATAAATTGCAATATAAAATAATATTAATATTAATCCGGATTACTATAATTATTATTAATAAAAAATAACTCATAAAGATTCTTATAAATATGATTTCAAATAATTTAATAAAAGAGTTAGAGAATAATTATCTTTTGCCTACAATCAAATCAAGTTTATATATATTTCAAGGATTACTAAATTCACTATATTCGAAAAAAATAATAATTACAAAAAAAGTAATGAAAGTAGTAATAGGGAATAGGAATAATAGAAAAGAGATAATAAAACTCTTATTTGAAAAATGAAAATTAAAAGTAATAATTATAAAAAAAATATTAAAAATAATAATAGGGAATATAATTAATAAAGAAAAGATAATAAAGCTTTTACTTGAAATATAAGAAATAAAAATAATAATTATAAAAAAGATAATGAAAATAATAATAGAGAATTAAAGAAATAGAAAAGAGATAATAAAGCTTTTGTTTGAAATATAAAGAATAAAAGTAATAATTATAAAAGAGATAATAAAAGTAATAATAAGGAATATAAATAATAATAAAAAGATAATAAAAATTTTATTTGAAATATAAAAAGCAGAAATAATAATTATAAAAAAGATAGTAAAAATAATAACAAAAAATAAAAATAATATAAAAAAGATAATAAATTTTTTATTTTAGATATAAGGAATAGAAGTAGTAATTACAAAAGAAGTAATAAAAGTAATAACAGGAAATAGAAGTAGTAGAAAAGAGATAATAATAATTTTGCTTGAGAAATGAGGGGCAGAAGTTGTGATTACAGAAGAGGTGATCAAGGCCGCCGCTACAAGTGAATAAGAACTAGTTCTATATATCATTAACACACATTCAAAAATGCTATTATCTCAGCAAAAGTGGTTTGCGATTGCTTAATTTTATAATGTAGTTAAACTTGGAAACAAAAGGAAAATTCAAAACTTATTAAAACAAAAAATTGAATCAAACCTTTCAAACTTTAGAAAAATAACACCTTTATGTATTACTACTATAATTGGTTATATCGAAATAGTCCGATCATTTCTTGGGATAAAATCTGTTAATATTAATATAATTAATATTTCTGGATAATCATCTATTTTTTGGGTAGTTGTAGATGAAAAAAAAAAGATTGTGAGGCTTTTATTAAATGCTGGAGTAGATCTGATTTTTATAAATACCAACAGTGATATAATACTTTTGGTTTTTAAATAATATAAATTTAATAAGATTATAAATATATTCAATATTTGGAAGTAAATTCAAAGCTTTTTATTATCTTACTTTTCCATATCTTAATTTTTTTCTAATTATCAGAATTTATTTGAAAATATATCGATAATTGATATTATTTGTAATCTATGTGCTTTACTTATAAAGACCAAGACAAGATTATTATAGTTATAGAGAGGTACTGGTGAGCACTTAATATATGAGTTCCTGAATTTATGCTCTGATTATAGAAGGTATGATCTATTGACTAAACGCAGAGTTTTCGATATGCATTTCAGTAGAAGCTGGAAGCTATAGCGATCATAACATTTTTTGAGTCCTACACAAGATGGTACTAAGGCTATCAAAGATATGTATTTTAATTTACACAATCTTCAGTTAAACCATTAAACCTGGAGTATCATATTAAGATTCATATAACAATTCATTACGGATTAGAGTTACATATTATTCTGATCATAAAACACTCTTCCTCAAATATTCGCTTAGCAAATATCTAAAGAAAAGCTTATATGACTGACTTATAATCTATAAGTGAAAGATATTTATAGATAAGAAAAACTACATTCTATATACATAAGTAAATAATCTGGCCCAATAGGCTAGGCAAAAAGAAACTATATTACTCTACAAATGATTTATACACTAAATGTCAAAGGAAAGTCAGGCTTTTCATAATATGTTATAGAACACTATTTTTAAAATCTGTATGATAGCTTATAAAATACTAATAATAGGAGAAAAAGGGAAGTTCTAAGTTCTCGATTTAGACAAAAGAGTGAATTAAATAAACAACTATAGATTTAATATTTCGAATTTATAAAAAAATAATTCAAACTCTGAACACTCAATGAACAATTTGTACAATAATAATTAATCTGAATTCTATTCTAATGAGCTATATGCAAATCATATACAAATCATATACAAATCGTAATCAACTAATAATAAACTATTGAATTTAATATTTAATAATGAGCATTTATTTGATACTACAGGTGTTTTCTAGAAGCCTTATATTGGTAAAATATCTCATTTTACCCTCCTAGGGATTCGTAATTACAACCCAGTATTTATTTATTTTATTTATTTATAGTAATTAACGTCTAATCTATAACCTCCCTAGGGTTATTCTAGGCGTACTAAGGATCGGGCCTACGGAGCGCATGCGCTCTTGCCGCTCATAGTAGTTTAGCAATTTTTCCTTCTGGGGTGTTGCTCCCCTCTTCGGCTATGCTCCGGATTGATTCGCTCGATAGGGCATCTGATCGGTTTCTGAGAAGGGCCTCTTTGAGGCCGGTGAGTAGTCATTTGGGGGGCAGTGAGTGACGAGAGTAATCGCTATGGACCGGGAGATCGATGGGTGGTGGTTGGTTCGGCTTTATGTTAGAGATGAAGTGCTCTTCTTCATGTTGGGTGAGCGGTTTGTCTTCGTCTATTTTTAGGCGAAGTTACTACAGATCTGAGTGAAAAACCCAGTTCCGGAGAGGAGCTTTGTGAAACTGTCTTGTGTGCGCAGGAGGCGATTGATATATTCGATCGCACCGCGTTCGGAGCGGAGCCGATTGGGTGCGAGAGGCCAGTCGGCTCGCGATTCATTATTGATTGGACATTGAAAGAAGTGAAAAGGGGACTTGTCACTGCCGCATGAGCATTCGTTGTGGCTGTTTTTGTGGTTAAACTTGATATGATAAGCTGCAAAGTCACCATGGCCAGTTCGCATTGCTAAAAGCCTATGAAGTGTCCCGCGTGGAAACTGAAAAGTGGGTGGTTCAGTAACCTTGTACACCGATCTCCACATCTTATATCCTGGGGAGATCATATTGCTCGCTGAAGCCCACCAGGACGTCTCTGTGTATCGACACCTAGCTTTGAGATCAGATCGGGTGCTACTTACCGTCGGCAACGCTGACAGGCCAGTATCTATTGAGCCCGATATTCCTAGGTTAGCTAAGCGATCTGCTACTTCTTTGCTTTCGATCTCGGTGTGCCCGGGGGATCATTTGATCCCGGTGTTATAGTAACGCATCGCTTGATGGCACTTATGATAAGCCCACTGAGAGGATTCAGGGGCTCTTCCGCGCATACCCTATGTAACTGAGGTGCTATTGATGCGCATTCAGATTTGTCCTTGAGATTATAGCCCAGTAGGTACCTATCAACTATCTACAAAAAAGTATCAGTTCGTTTTCTATCCTATGAATTAGAGCTAGGCTTTTATTATAAAACTCTCTTTTTCAGCTCGATTGGAAAAACTATCTAATAATGGTTTATTAATTTCCTTTTTCAGCTTGGTAGTGAAAATCTATTTTACTGCAAATTCAAATGCCTGTATACAAACTCCTGTTTTCAGTTTAGTATAGATTAATTTTTATATTGATATAATAGAATCCTAATATTAAATTTTATAAAATATTATATTTCAAAATATGATTTTTGATATTGAATATCGCTAAAATGGTATAAATATAAATCCTAATTATAAATTCCAAGTTCATTATTTTTTAAGTAGTATTCATAATAAATATTATATTCAAGTGAGAGAAGTTTTATATCATTAAACCACAAGCCCGTTTTTGATGGTGAGATAGTGCTGTAAAACATACATAATCACAAAGTTTGTCCTGTGAGCTACAAATTCCCATCTACTGTACTACAAACAAGGTCTGCAAGTCTCACGAATAAGTAGTGCTATCACATAGCATTTAGCTTACATGAGAGTATAACAAAGGGCTGTCAATTCCATTTTGCCCTTCTATTTACTCTTCCTTCGATATGCGAAGATCTCGCCACTATCATGATTTGTCGAAGGATCAAGCAGCTTTCAAGACACCTCAATCTTCAAGAGGAAAACAATAAAAGCAAAGCAGTCTTCTTATATCCATCCAAAGCTAAAAAGGAATTTTCCTGCATATATATATCATGGCATCGATTATCCAATCGCCTATAACGATCTGATCTTCACACAGATACTCGAACAACAGTTCTCACTCTTTATAAATCGATATAACAACACTAGTATTCCAAATGGGATACCAAATGATCCCTCAAGCATTACAGATCTTTGCAAGTCCTATTCATCGGGGTCGATTCGTTTTGGTTCTAGGTTTCGGTTGCGAGCCGAGTAACTCAGGGTATTCAATAGTTCGGACTGCAGTTCAACAATGAAGATGATTAAATCTCCAAACCAATTAGGACATTCAAACCATCTGAGATACCAGATTGACTGAGGTATCGAATTCAAACATTGAACTAGTTTCAATGTTCCAATCACTTTCAGAAATTCAGCACCTTATATTGTTGGACTGCACTCTGGACTATTGGACACCCTGGCCCGGCCCGAGTTATATACATTACGCATCTGAAATGGATATACATTAGCAGGGTTATCATATGAGTTGAGGGTAACAAACAAGTCTCCGGTGAATATTTAGAAACTTTCACTCAAATTCTTAACAGCTTTCTCGAAGTGCAAGCGTAGTCAGTGGTAAGAGTTGAGGCCCCGGCTTATCGCACATTTAAGCGAGATTAGGGTAGCCACCTAATTTCGCATACCTTATTTTAAAAATTCAATTATTATTCTAAAATTCATTATTTTCGACTCAAATTCAAAATGGATATTGGATATAATTACAAAAATAATAATTATAAATTTCATCAAAATTAACATACTCCTCAACATTCTAAAGTTATTCAAATTAGAATTAATAGAAAATCCTAGGAACGAATTACTTCAAATTTAGATATTCTATAATTTAGTATAAGAAATATAATTAAATTTAATTCAATTAAAAGAACTCAGAAAAGGAAAACTTATCAAAAGTTTATAATAATTATTAAAAAGATTTATTAAATTATAAAAACAATTATCAAAGATTAATGCAAAAGGAGAATGATTTTTAAATAAATTAATATATTTAGTATTAAGATTTCAATATATATAATTCAAAAGAAATTATATTAATATAAATATAGAAGATGTATAATATATCCTAAGCCCTTTATCTTGAAAATGCAAGCAAAAAAAAGACTAGATTTTGTATATAAATATTATTGATAGAAAACTAGTGATATTATTATTATTAGGCTAGAAGGGAGGGATTGGAGACTAGTTATATGATCGAATAAAAGCACTTTCGAACTAGGAAAAGCAAGTAGGATATAAATTACTAAATAGATTAATAAAAAGAAATATATTGATTATATTAAATTAATATATTAATTAGAAAGAGTATTAGTAATGATATAAAGTATAATTAACTGGAACTATAAATCTCTATTGATTTTTTTAGAAAGATTTGAAGGTAATAAAGGTATTATCTTTAAAGTATATATATAATAAGTTTTTAAGCCTATTATATTCCTATTATTCAATAAACTAGAATCTAAATATATATTTATAAAAAACAATTCTAAGATATATTTCGGATATATTCATAAAACTCAATTGAAATATAATATATAAAGTTTTGATTAACCATTCTCCTTTTCAAATCTTAATTTAATTGAAAAAATATAGTAATGAATAAAAAAGAAACTAAAAAAGTTACTATTTGTATTTATTTTTATAAAAAAATTGAAATATGAATTACAAATTCTTTAAAATAAAATAGATTCCTTAGATTTCAGGTTATATACTGAGAGATTAATTTGCAAGATTAAAGATATAATTGAAATATAAGAATTAGTTATTGTTTGTTAATATAATATTCAAATTTTATAAGATTATATTATATAATTGATTTATTATTAAATTTTAAAAAATTAGATTGAAAAATAAGTAGTGTGCGATAAGCCGGGGCCTCAACTCTTACATTGGTGGCTGCATTTATGTCATTGTGGATATCTATTGCAGCTATGTGGATTAGATTCAAGATCTCATCAATTCGAGAGGCTCTTGTACATGAGCTTGATAGTCTCGATTAAGATTGTTGCTAATTACATTTTTACCCGTTTAGACGCACTGCCATCAGTCTCCAATCTCTTTCGAGAAACAGGCTTCCTACTCGGCTTGCTAATCTCCGCTAACACATAAGCAATAAAGATACTTTTCTGTTTGAAATAAACGCCTTTGTTATATGAGATGTCCAGAGCAACAGCACGAGCAGCTTGGCCCAGCTTTATGAACTGCTCTAATAATGACGAGCTTATTTCAGTACTATTATACATTTTATTGGTCCATTGAATCTGGTCTACTATATCTCGAATAAGCCATGAATTTCTCTTTCCCCACAATCCAAAAGTATTATTAGAATCAGAGTCATGTGGATCGTAGAAGAACAAGGCAGAACACCAAAGTAAAGTAACATCAAATACACTAGTATTTGATATACGAATACAATTGCCAAGAATTGATAACTTGGTAGTTAGACGTGTATGATGGTGAATATTGAAGTTTATCGGTAGTATTGTTTCTATCCAGTTCTCCAACTTCGTTTTAAGTTTCTGTGACGTTTCTAAATCATAATCGAATTGCTGATTTGGTTCTCGAGAATTCAAGTTGGCAAATTGCTCCTTGGCAAGCTCTTCCTCGTCCGAATCCACATCAAAGTCTGTTCTGATATTCTTTTCGATATCGTCCAAGTTCACTTCGCTATCTGATGACTCTTCACAGCCAGAAAAAATGCCATGCACCGATGGAGAGTTGGAACTAGCTGAAAATCGAGGCGGTGTCTCTTCAATCGTTTCTTTGAGAATATCGAGTGATGACTGAGACACCTGCGCATCTGGAGATAGCTGAGCGTATGGTGGTGGTGACCGAGGAACTTGTACTTCTGGACATGGCTGAGCATATCGTGGCGGTATTGGGCGTTGTTGCTCCTTATATACGAATTTGTCCCATTCTAGTAAAATAGCCCCTTGTTGAATATACATTCCCTTCAAGTTGATTTTGTAGGTATTGGGTGCAGATTCACTAATATGCATACGGAGTTTTTCCAGATGTACTTTCGCATAAGTACTTGGCCTGATGTATACACTGAAAATTGTGGCATTAGATAGAGACTCAAGGCCACGAATCAACATATCTGTAGTCGTAGTGTGAGGTTTGATTGCAGTAGTTCTCTTCTTTGTAACAACGAATCCCTTCGTGGTGAGATTGAATTGTAGAAGGAAAACATGTTGTGCATTGTTTAAACCGGCTTCGTGAATAGCAGAAACGTCGTGAGATAGATCAACACTCGATATTGGGTAAGGTGTAGAGGCATTCGCAAAATCGGCATCTGGGGGAACAACTAATAATATATCCAATTTCTGTTTTTTACCAGCAAGCTTGATAAACACCTGAAGCTTAAAATGAACATGAATCCGCCCTCCTACATCACGATATACAGTCATGAAGAAACCAGGTGTCTGCTTGTTGTCATGCAAGCAAGAACCTAGTGTCAATGTTGTGCCTGATTCATTAACCCATTTTACGAACACCCTCTCATCAAGAAGTTTTTCTAGCTGAAGTTTTTCGATAGGAACCGATATCGACATATTGAGTTCTATAGTTATAATTAGCAATAAAACATAGTGAAAGAATACTTGCATTTAAAAAATGCTAGCCCACACTCTGTGTGCTTCCCACCCACCCAGGCTATAGAGCAGCCTTGACTCTTCGAATAATATGAGATGTAGAAGTGATCAAGAAAAGCTACTATGTGAATTGTGTTGAAGTTGTTCTAAACAGTAGGTGCTGTAAGGACATAACCGCCGCTAGGGTTGTTCTAACTAGCAGATACTGTAAGGACGTAACCGCCGCCAGGGTTGTTCTAAACAGCAGATGCTGCAAGGACGTAACCGCCGCCAGAGTTGTTCTAAACAATAGGTGCTGTAAGGACGTAACCGCCAACAGGGTTGTTCTAAGCAGCAGATGCTGTGAGACTCTTGTACACAGCGCAATATAGGAGCAATTTGGCTGGAAATATTGTGCTTGTATAGTTGTATCTGATAGAGGTAAAGCGATATGAGGGCAACGATAGGAAGACGGTGGTCGCGTATTCGTAATAAATATTGTGCGATGGAGATAAAGCGATAAAAGGATAGCGACAGGAAGATAGTAATTATCGTGGGATGGAAATGAAGAGATGGAGGAAGATAGAGATGATGATGGAAATGGAGGGACCCAACAAAGTTAATGTTCCTGGAACCAGTAATCGGATCGGAAATACCATTTCCCCGATCAACAACAGGTGAACCAACGAACACCATTAATTTTCAAAATTCTACAGTGATTAAATATTTCTCTTGATGCCTGAAACTTTTTGCGCTTGAGGCTTTAGCCATCTTTACAGAGGCTCGAGAGGTAACCTGGAATGCCCTTATTCCTTGGAGGATTTACATTGCGTGGCGCGGTGGCTAGAATTCTGTATTCGAAATATCCTAACATTCTGCATCCAAATACAAAAAACGGTCTTCATATAAAAAGCATGAGATTATGAAGACTACGAAGATCTGGGCATTCCACATCATAGAATTAGTATCTGCCAAAAGTGGTTCCACTAACTCCACCATTAATGATCCCAGCTTGAAAGCCCGAGCTGTGAGAACCAAATGTTACTGTAGTTGAACCGTTTTGGCACCCCGCGGCTTTTGCGACAGCTTCTTCCTGTGACTTGGACAACAGCTGATTCAACAGCTTCTGCGATGCTTTCATCCTTGAAAATTCTTCTTCAAGCTGCCGTACAGCTTCGATTTTGCCCTCCCTGAACTCAACTGTTTCATTGTCATCATCATCATCATCATCATTACTGAGGCTCAGCTCTTCCAACCTATTCTCTAACACTACCAACTGTCGATCCGCAGTAGAAATAACATCTCTAACCTCAATTTGCTTTGTAGATATCATTTTCCTGACCTCTTCTGTGATATGGCTATGGCGGACAGAGCTGTATCTATTAAGCGGAATTAGCATACCTTCCTGGATAGAAATAATTAGATTATCATTACTCACAAGGTCGCTATACTGACAATAGAGTTTATAGCAAGCCTACAGTTTGAGAGCTGCTCTGACATAGCCTTGATTTGCCCTTGCTTGAAGAATTCGACTTTTACTTGATCCTGCCATGATAATTTTCCACCTTCTGAGTGTTTGGTCCATGGCTGGAGATCAGCCCTGAAAAGATCGCATGCTTGAGTGCAACTATTACTCGTTGTTTCTGACTGCTTAACTACATCTTCGCCAAGTAAGCTCCATTCTCTCTCGTCTATACTTCGAAGTGATTGCAGTGCTGCATCGACAGAATGCACATTGTCTACTAGACGATTAACAGTTTTAGGTGCATCCTTGAGCTGTTGTAGATCATCTAGTAGTAATCGTGTGCCGTGCAAAGCTGGCACAATAATACCTACGATACTAGCGGTGATACTGAGAGGATCGGCCATTTGTGATTGTTCATGATAGAAAGCCCGATGTAAAACAAGAATTTGAACTGTGAGTTGAGGCCTGTAAAAACCGGTCAATCTTATTGGACCATTATCGAAAGTTGCTGCGGTTGAAGGATGACGAATTGTACCAACAAGCCCGGTTGCTGTAGGTGCTTTATCGCGAAGCAAAATTGTTCATCACAATTATGGCATCCGCGATATCTTTTGACACCAACAACTCTGGCCTTCAAGCCGGAACAATCAATGGTGCAGTCAACACGAACTTTCATCACCATGCTCCTCCTGGTAAGTTGCGAAAGATCCAAGCTGACCAGCGCTAACAACTAACAACAGCCCCACTCTAGAACGACTAGAAACTCCGCCGAACCCATCGATCGTCATACCCTTCAGTCGCGATAAAGACTTTGTCGAGCGAGGGACGATACTCGACCTGATCTATGAGAAATTCACCGGTCCGGGTTCTAGAGCCGCACTTGTCGGTCTTGGCGGTGCTGGGTATGTAGATTCCTCTCCTTATTACACAGATAATTAAGTAATGCAAAGAAAGTCTCAACTTGCTATTGAATACGCGTACCAAGCCCGAGATCAATCACAGGAGACATGGGTTTTCTGGGTCCATGCAAGCAATGCTGCTCGATTTGAGCAGAGCTTTCGAGATATTGCAAACTGTGTGAAGATTCCTGGCCGGCAGAATCTACTGTCCAATATTTTTCAGCTTGTGCATGACTGGCTGCGCGATTGTTAAAAGGGAAAGTGGATTCTTATGCTTGATAACGTGGATGATGCTAGCTTTCTTGTCCAAGCTCAAAGTGTAGGCCGAGATGGACAAAGAAACGATCACATTGATAACTCACGACCGCTTATTACATATCTTCCACAGTGCCAAAATGGATCTGTTCTTTTCACAACACGAAGCAAAAGTGCTGCGCTAAAGCTAGTTGAGCAACGTGACATTATTGCAGTCGAACCTATGGGGATGGCAGATGCGCTAGCACTTTTTGAAAAGAAGCTAGGACAGTGTGACGATGGCAACAATACTGCTGAGCTTGTTGAGGCACTAGAGTTTATGCCGCTTGCTATTGTCCAGGCAGCTTCATATATATTGCAAAGAATACCACGTTATTCTTTACATGATTATCTTGAGGACTTCCGAAAAAATGATCGCAAAAGAACTAATCTTCTTCATCATAATGGCGAGCAGTTCCGTCGAGATTGGGAAGCAAATAATTCTATTCTTGTTACATGGCAAATTTCTTTCAATTATATACGTCAAACAAGATCATCTGCTGCTGACTTGTTGTCGCCTATGAGCTTTTTTGACCGGCAAGGAATCCCCGAGAATTTACTACGAAGTTGAAATGCGGATAGATTTCTGGAACAAAACCAGGAAAGCGATGGTGATAATGATGATAGTAGTGTCAGTACTGCAGAAAGTGATGACGACAAAGATAACAGTTTGGGGTCTAGTATAAATGATGGGTTCGAGGACGATATTTTAGTTTTACGAGATTATTCGTTTATCAACGTTAATGCAGATCGCACAACATTCGAAATGCACAGATTGGTACAACTAGCTACACGCAAATGGCTTGAAGATCAGAAACAGCAAGAGAAACGGAAACGGCAATTTATAAAAAAATCTCGACGCAGAGCTTCCAACAGGAGAGTACGAGAATTGGGTACAGTGTCAGATGCTTTTTCCACATGCACAGTCGGCAATATCACACAAGCCTGAGGAACAAACCTCATTGGTGGAATGCGCTTCAATACTTTACAAGGCATCATGGTACGCTTGGGAGATGGGGAATGGCAAGGATGCGGAAAATCTGTCGGTCAAGGCGATGAAAGTTAGAAAGGAAATTCTAGGGCGAGAGCATGAAGACACGCTAGCAAGTATGGCAATGGTAAGCTTTATTAATAAACTTAGGGGCCGGTGGAATGCGGCTAAAGAGCTATTATGGAAGTGGTCGAGACAAGTAAGGAGAAACTCGGAATGAATCATCCTTTCACACTCAACATTTTAGCCAAACTAGCGTCTGCATATCGGAATCAAGGGCAATTCGATATGGCCGAAAGAATATTTGTGGAAGTGATGGAGATAAACAAAAAGAAATTTGGATCACATCATCCAGATACGCTTATTAGCATGGTCAATCTAGCATCGACTTACAGGAATCAAGAGCGGTGGGATGCAGCTGAGGAGCTATTTGTGGAAGTGATGGAAATAAGCAAAAGGAAACTCGGAATGAGCCATCCGAACACACTCATAAATATAAATAATTTGGCATTTCTATACAGGAGCAAAGGGCAATTGAATACAGCCGAAGAGTTAGAAGTACAAGTGATGGAGACTCGCAAGAAGAAATCCGGAGTGGATCATCCAGACACGCTCACTAGTATGGCTGACCTTGCCTACACATGGAAGAGACAGGATAAGCATGAAGAAGCTCTGGAGCTCAGGAGGAACGTGTAGTATCACAAAGGAGAATTCTAGGTATTAATCACCCCGAAACTTTGTTTCCTCGTACAAATTTACTTGCATGGCAAACAGCCGAGTCCGGAATTGATGCTTAGGCTGATGGAGAACTGAATGCACAATAATGTACCTAGCAGAATTGATGAGAAGGCGCATTTATCAGGGCTTAGGCCCACTTTCTTATAAGCTCTCTTCTTATGTAAATAAGTCAGTGTCCTGATTCAACCTTCTACACTCTCTAGTTTGAAGTCTTGAGCACAACGCGACTCGACCTTGATCAATTGTACCGCTTGAAAGGTTTCTTATTTGAATACATTTTCTGTTTAAGCTTATTGCCATTCTTATCTGATTGTCATACAATCAATAGTACCCAAGTTCTGTTTAGTTCCATTGTAATATAGTTCTGCTTTCTATGCTACCTAATACACTGCGGCTCCAAGGGTAATGATTGTTTGAATACTGATCTCTTACTTCAAATATATTCCTAAAACTGATATTCTATATTAAACTAAAATTTACCAAGTAGGATTAAATTCTTGATGGGATATCAATTGTATCCCATTTTTAGCAATGCAAAGCGAGTTTTAAGTAATGTGAAAGAACAGTAATATGTCAGTTCCATTTTCTAGACCTAGGGCTCAGAGCTTGAGAAGGAAAGGAGAAAAGATCACTCAATGAAAAAGAAGAAGTTAAATAAACCTTCCTGTCATATTACGTTGATTGCTAGTCGTGTTATATAGCTTGTTCATCGCCTAAATGATGAAACTATTCACATACATCCGATCTAGGTCGGTGAAGACAAATCTCTCACCTGTACGTAATGCTAGCTACGAAATTATGGTACCTTTCGAATCCATCTGAGCTAGAAGATTTGGATTAGGATGAGAGCTGATTAGGAAAAGAACATTTCCAAGAAAACATCCAAGATCAAATCCCCAGTGATTTCGTTATCGAGTTACTCTGGACTGTGAACACTCTGAGGGTGATAAGATGGTCATCAAATTGTCCTGAAGGGGAGCAGTCATCCCTTCCACGTTGCCATCTATCCTTTAGCTAGTTTCATGTCCTTTCTCAGAATTATCAACACCTGTTTGATTCTAGCTTTTGTCCATATTTCAAGCTTGAACTTTTCGGTGCCATGCTCAGAGAGGGAGAATCACCACGAGTCTTATTTCTCTTTCCAGAATCCTAATCTAGCTGAGTAGAGACGCGCACCAGGCACCTCTTTAGTTCAAAGTCTGGTAATCTCCCTGTTATCTTCCATCTTATCCATCTTGTAATAAATATCCAAACTCAAATCAAATACTACATTGGAGGACTATTTGGATGAGCGAGAAGCCAAGCAGTTCTTCTTTGATAGTCTGTAACACCGTGTAAATGTCTCTCTCTTCCAGTCATTATTTTCTTTCGGATACTTACGAGGGTACAGTCTTATCATGATAGGTTGCCTTCAATGACCCGTCTCTTGAGCTATTAAGCACGACTTTGTCCATATTCGATGAAGATTGGGTAATCAGTTTATTTACGGGTCTAATGCTTTCCGAAATGCATCAGATCTGCCAGCAGATTTGAGTATAATTGGGTTCGTATTGCTGAGCCATTGATTGCTTTAATTAGGGACCGAGTTCATTGAAGTAGTCAACTCTGGACTAGCTCGTGAAGGCACCCCAATGTTTCCCCCTTCTCGGGGTCATGAAGACTTCCAGTATCTATTTCTTTGAGTCAAGCTGAACTCCTGAAATAATGGCTTTGGACTTAACCTAGCGATACCAGTGTGGAATCTGGGTGACTGGAAATTGCCTAGTGAACAGATTCTTTCAATGATGGGTGTAGTTTCATGTAATAGTGTGGAATTATGTTTCGCATCGAAAAAGAAATTTTAATGGTGGTTGAGGAATACAGAGAATGGGAGAATTTTTAAGAAATTGATGAACGAGGAAGACATATGACTACTATGACTGAGATTAAATGGGGAAGGCTCATCACTCTGAGTGCGATCATGCCTTCCTACTAGATTCTCCGGGTGGGTAGTTGCCGACGTCAATGTCAAGAAGCCTCAACCTGATCAGACTCATGTAAAAGCTTCCCTAATCAACATCCTTTTACATTTGAGGAGTCCCATAGGTAGCTATTCAACTTCATCTACATATTCAGCCGAGAACCTTTGATCTTATTCCACTAAATCGTACCTGATACTTATCTCATATTCACTATCCCATCAGTCATATTATATCCTGTCCCATCTCCTACTCTTTCCCTCTCTCATAATTCACACATTGAACTACCACAGGGTACAAAGATATAGAGCCATAAACCAACACGTGCATTCAACTGCATGATGAAATTGAAGTTGCTTCCTGTACCAAGTTTCACTTTGGCGACTTCACTCTAAATTCACTTCACTCTAAATCAACTTCACTTCAAATCCACTTCAAACTCGCTTCCTCTTATACTCACAAGTCTCCCAATCAAATCGCGTCGCTCAGATATCAAAACTTTTGTTGCATGTCTACAAAATATAGATCTCACGATACCTCTTGAAAATGGCCTCTCACACCAAAATGAAAAGCTTCATATTTTGGATTTGAATTTGAACATGATGAGGAGAACAAGAATTGGATTCTTTGTCTTTTTCCTATTTTTAAACATATACAGGTAGTTGTTTTGGAATTATCTCGAACTTCACTTCGGTAAGTTCGCTTCACTAAATCTCGCTTTATTCACTAGCAATATCATTCCTTCTATCTACAGCTCATTTATCTTCCAGCGAGCTGTGTTGTACATCTATGAATGCAGGATTACTAAAGCAATCCTTCAGATGCTCTCTTATAACGAATGTTTTCTTGTCAATCAATATCTAGGTATGTAACTTTGTATCTCTATGCACATAGATGAGGCGAATGAACAAAACTGTACTGAAGACTTTCCTCAAACATACCAGTATATTCGGTTCAGAGCCTCATGAATCAATTTTATCTATTCTTCGATTCTCGTGAGTAAAGAGGAAATGTGTAAGCAAAGTCCGGAATCCTGAAGAGAGAGAGAGAGTTAAGAGGTTCAAATGATGTAGTAAATCCTCACGAGGGGTCCACCATTGCTTGCTTACTAATGTACGAGGCTGCACCATTCATACACGTGCTATCCTCCTTTATCATACCTCGGAGCCTAGATTGGCCGATCCATATGGGAATTGAGCAAACGCATGTTGACCAATGGATAACAAATGACAAATTATCCACCTGCAAGGCTGACTTTTCCAAGATTCACATTGTAGACACAAGATGACTTATGTTCTACTCCAGAGCAAATAAAGTCATTCGTTCCTGTCTTTTCTTATGATTCTTCGCATGAAACAAGCCTAACCCATCATCTTGCATGCTTTCACTTCTACTTGACCATGGAACTGCAAAATTCAAGAGTCTCTCTGCGTACTAATGGATCTATCAAATACTGATCGTGCAGGTGAATCCGAAACTCCAAAGATATCACAACAAAGACGCTTAAAGCGTAAGAACCTCGCAGAATCTCCGGTACGATCATCGAAGCCTTCTCAAAAACGGCCAAAGAGGAAAAAGGTTACCCCCCCCTTATATGAAATAAATGGCATATTAGATGACCGAAAATCTGGCAAAATTACGAAATTTCTGATAGATTGGAAAGACAATCCCGAAACAGGGGAATCCTACGAACCGACCTGGGTATGATTGATGAAACTTATACCAACACATATCAAAGCGCTCCCAACTGACCAGTGAATGCTTTTAGGAACCCTATGCCAATGTCACCGAAGCTGCAATTTATGAATGGGAAAATCGTTTAGCTATACAAAATCACAATTCTCAATCACAAGATAGCGAACCTATACGGCCGGCGAAACGAAGAAGAACGAGCAATACTGAAGCTTCTGTCTTATCCAAGAAAAGACGGGGACATAATTCCAATAGAGCCGTTGGAGAGAGAGTCGGAACGAAGAACAAGATCCAGGAGATCAAGGATAGTTACGAGGACCAAGATTCGGGCCCTGGAAATGGTCTTTCAATTGTGATAACTCTCAATAAAGATATAAATCCAAACGAATATACTGTCATCAGGTCATCTCAACTATCAGATTACTCAAACTCTCCGGAACATTAACAAGCGTCCTCTCCTTTGCAAACCCAAGATTCACCAGATTCTCAGAAAGTATTGCCACGTAGAAGATCAGCTCCGGCGTTTATTTGGGACGAGGATATTGAAGCAGATTCTCAATATTTATCTAGTTCTACTCCATACCATCCGTCCATTCCGAGGAGCGCAAGTGACAGTGAAGACTTTCAATCATCGGTACGACCCGAGACTTCGGACCGAACCCGGAGAGGTATTAGCCGTAGTATTCTTGGAATCACACAACATAACGTTAAGGAGCAACAAAAAGGTTCTAGTAATAAAGTAAATCAAAACGAGTCGTCTTTGAAATCTTCAATTCCGGACAGTTTTCTAATTGATAATTCATCCTCATCAATTGATCAGAATTCTGCCCCACTGGTATCCTTGACACCACATCAGCATCTAAGACCGCAACCCCCCTTAGAACCTGCAGCCAGTGAGGAACCATCTCAACAACCCCCCGTCACGGATCTCTCTCCAGCGTTACATTCTTCGATCTCTAACTCTCAAAATAATTCTGATCAATCATTAGAAGAGGAAGAGAAAGGAGAAGAAGAGCGGGAGACAGATCAATCTGAGACTCAGAAGCAATTACAATTACAATCACAATTGTCATTGGAGATACCTGATTCGTATCTTGTGAGCGATACACCTACCAAAAGGTTAGATTATAATTCCTCATTCTATAGAACTGTCTTTCGTATTATTCTTCAAGACACTTTCATGCGATCAAAACTTACAACATCATTTTTAGTTCTCAAACCCAAGGTGTGGAAGCGCACATTAGTAGTCAAGACCGTGCTTCTTCTCTGCCTACTGGTCAATCTCAACCCGAAATTGTGCTTTCCGAATCTCAACGTTCTCAATCACTTCCCTCAGCCACAAACAATAACTCAAGCTCAGAAGAAACTTGGCAAGCTGCGCAAATCGTCACCCAAGTTCCTAGAACTTTATCGCAAGACCCTTTTGGTGGAAATTCCCTGTCACAAGGCTCTAGAGACCACGTGCAGGTTGACAATTCGCAAGTCTCGAATCTTGCACCCACAATTCCGGAGCTTGACCATCACGATCTTTCAAAGTCGAACTCTGTATCAGAGGATCAGGGCGATAATATTAACCGCGTTGCCCACACTGAACATCCTGAAACGCAGCCCTCCGGCTCCGGGGCTTCCGTAGGAGCGCCAGTAATAGAGAGTATCGAGTTCGAAGCAGGTCTCCACAACGCCCAATTACAGTCTCAAGAACCTCTATTCTCTCAAGATCCGGCAGACTTAGTCTGGCCTAGTAGTGGTGACTTACCGGCAATAGCGTTGTCTCCCACTAAGATGTCAGCTGCGTCTCATCTTGCCGTTGGCGAGAGGAGAGCGAGGTCAACAAAGTCCAGATCTCCATCGACCTTGCCTCCACGAGTAGCAACTGCACCGCCAACGTCCTCAGCCAATCTTCCATTGCCCATGCGGGATAATATTGCTGATGTATCGAAGCCGCGCAATAGGGCAACTTCCATGCCAAGAGCTTCCATTGAATCTCCAAGTACGAGCCCCAACGTTTTGACTGTGCGCAAACTGGGACGAAATGAATTCATTATTCCGCTGCCAATGATGAATCAAGTTCGTGAAGTATACGATACTACCATCAGAGACAGAAAAAACGATATTCTATCTTTCTTGGGGGGTCCGCCAACAGCAGCAGATTCAGAAAGCATGGATTTGATGATCGAGGAGTTGAAATTGATATGTGATCATCAAGATCTGATAGTGGATGAGTCTTCGACTCAGAGCCTAGATGACAGTACCCAAGCTAGATACGCTGTAACTATCAGCACCAAGTTCTTGTTTGTTCAACAGTTTCTGGACTCGCTTCGATCAACTAAGGTTCATGTGGTCATATTAGCACGAGAGATGATTCTACCTATTCTTGAAGCGCTTTTCAGATATAGGGAATACAATTACAGTCGCCCCGATATATCTGGGGCACCAGAAAAGTCTATAAAGGATTCGATGCAGATCACACTACTTCCTACGTGGATCGATGTTCGTGATTGCCTTGTCGCTCCTGCTTCCGTGGTTTTGGCATTCGATTCGTCGTTCCCGACCTTCGAAGTAAGAGATGAATATCACCAGATTCTGCCTCTCGACCCCAAAAATCCAGAAAAGCGTGTACCTTTACTATGGCTTGTCACCACAAACTCGGTTGAACACATCGAACTATGCATTCCCACTAGAGGATCATCAAGACGTAAAAATAAGTTAGTCCAATACATCACCCAAACTCGAAAGGTTGTCGGTCGTTTAGATACGACTGTCTATCCTGAGCCACAACAGGCTGCCAGAGCAGCTGCGGAGTACATTCTTGAGGATCCGATGGAAGTTTCCTGGCCCATAGTGCCCATGCCAGATATCGACATTCCCTTGCCTGGTTATGGAGCTTTCAACTGTCGGTCGGATTCATTGACACAATCTTTGTTTTCGCCAACTGAACCAAGAATACAATCCGGCTTCAAGCGACCCTCTGTAAGTGCATCCTGGCCTCGTTTCATATCATAGCATGATACTAACTATTTCAGGATTTCGATGCTGTAGACGAGGATACTGCATCCAAGCGCCAGCGACTTACACCCACAAGACAAGGTAGAGAGCTTGATTTGAATACTACCAACGGGAACTTGGTGGAACTCAACAAAGAATTGAAAATATTGCGTAGTCGATGCGAAGATTACGAAGGAAGTATCAAACGAATTCAACCAAAATTCCAGCGAGCCCTTGACGAGAGAGCCCGATTCGAGCACGAAAACGCCCAAGCCGTGAAACGTCTATCCGAGTACGAGAGGAAACTGGAAATAGAAGGTAGTGCAGCCGCAAAACTTCGTGAAGAGAACGCATCATTGAGAATTGAGCTTTCCGTTGCTCAAACCTCTCTTGCCACCTCTACTGTTCCCTCTGTAGCTGAACTTCAGAAAACGAAAGACGAACTTCGTGATGCACGGGCTGAAATCGAACGTCTCAAGAAAAATCACGCAAGTGCAGAAAAACGAGCTGATTATGCAGCGTCTCTCTATCAAGAGCACTCTCAACAGACCCACGAAATGCGCAACCAGCTTGAAGTCCTCCAATCCGAACGCAAGGGCCTACAAAGCGAGGCCTCTGCCGCTCGTGTCGAGATCCAAAAAGTCAATCACGACGGAATCATACAGCAACAACTTGATTCCATCAATGAGCTCAAGAGAGAACTTGCCGAACGAGAACGAATGCTAGAAAGCGTTAGTAGGCAATTGGAATCATACCAAAACGGACGAAGAACAACGCGTGGTACAAGTGTTCCAAGAAGTCCAAGAATGAATAACATGAGCCCGAGGCCGAGAGTGATGGGCAGCATGGCACCAGGGAGCAATACAGCGAGCAGGGGAAATAGCCCAGCGCCAGGTGTCTTTGCTGGTGATCTATTTCAGGGCGGCGATGCAGGAAGAAGATTTGGCGCGCATTTGCAGTAAGCTGGATGGATAATTCGCTCGAGAACAGGTCTTAAAGTCTACTTTTGGATCTCGAGGATGAGGTCTACGTTTGATGATAAAAATACACCAAGTATTCAATCAAAGTTTTGTACATGGAGGATACTGGGATGGGTGGACAATATGCAGCGCGGCGATGAACTCTGAATTTCGATCTGACAACACAAATGGGCTGGGGGGGGATCTGAAATATACACATATGGCGTCTTCTGCGTTTCCCGGATATTTGATCCTATTTCATTTACTTTCTTATTTGCTTACGATTTGATGGAGCGGGTGGAAATATTATTTTCGCATATGCGTTTGCGTTGCATGTATCGGTAGCTAGAGACGTATACCAATACATTATTGGGGTTAGTTGGTCAATAAGATAGTTGGGAGGACTGGATATAATGAGCACCTTTCATAATCACATAATCACAATGCTTACTTACATACCTGACTTAATTTTTCGACAAGGAGAAAATTTTATGCTGATGCTTTGCGATGTTGTGTGCTGTCGTGGGAAATTTCAGCATGTGCGAGCTCCTCAACCCAGTTACATGGCACGCGTTGAGACGAAAACAAACTCCGTATACATTATTTATTCTTTCTATCTACTATTGCAAATATTTATTATTTGCCCTGAGTGTCTATCTAGCCACGCTTGTTCCGCCTCAGCAAGCTGCAGAGATATTATTTTTTCCTCTGATCCTGTACTGAAGACCCAATCATCCAGCCAATTATCCCAGTCCCTGTCAATTCTCTTTCGAAAATGCTCTTCTCCCTCCCTATGTATCCGCCGTGCCAACTCCGACCAGTATAATGCTATCCTTGACTCACAGCGCCATCAAAAAACGCCTACCTATCAGATTCGAAAGTGATGGAGCAATACAATCCTAAGCAATTGTAGTATGAGATGAGCCGAAAGTTAACATGCAAAAAAGACTCATTGGGTATGCCATAAAAAAATAATCTAAAACGCCGTTGGCTCCCGAAGAAAAGAAACATTTTGTTAGTTTCAGTGGAATCGATGATGTTTCAGTGCTTATACTGAGCAATCATCTTCGCCTCCAAAGGATCTCGCCTAAGCAACGATGTATTGTTTACAAATCCTTCCATGACAGAATCCTGAAAGCGCTCCGAGGGCTCCTTTGTTCCCGAGCTAGTCTTTCGTCGCCCGAATTGTGCCATGTCAGGTGTTTTTGTTTTTGAACGATCATGTTTTCGCGAACTAGCTACTGGCGGGGAAGGCGGAAATTGTTGAAGCTTCGAGAAACTAACGTCAGTCTCATCCAAAAGCATTGGGTCATCGCCGCCAGTCAGATCCATAACGTCCCCATTGAATTTTGACCCTGTCCATTTTGCCAAATTCGAGCCACGCTGCTCTGGCGATGGAGAACGTAATACTGTTCCATTTCGTCTCGATTTTACACCACTTTCCAATTGTCGGGGTGAGTTCATATCAGAACGCGATGGACTTTCTAAACTTTGAACACAGTCATCTTCCCGGGATTCGTGCGCTGGTAAAAGCCCTGAAACTTCGCCTTGCAAGGCTGCCTGCCCCGTCGATTTGCTGAACAAATTGCAAAAATTGCCAACAGCATTAACAGCATTTCCGATCAAACTTGTACCACTTTGAGGTTCTTGCTCAGTCGGTTCCTCGCTTTTATGAGACTCGTCTTTCTCGAGATCGATGACAGAGGGCTTCCTTCGTGAGGTTTGGGCTAACGACTGTGGATCCGCACCTTCCTGTGTGGTTTCTTCATCTTCTTGAGAATCACGAATCTCGAGGTGTATAGGAGGCTTGGAAGTATTGGTCACAGTGCGAGCAGTTTGGCGAGGTTCACGAACTCTCGACTTAGATCGCTCTTCAATTGGCTCATCATCTATAATGTTGACAGAAATTGAGTTAGGGCCCTCTTGAGATTTTTCCTGAAGAGTTTCCTGGCTATCACTGATGTTGATAACCTTCTTAGCTTTTGGCAACGACTTTAGAGAATCCTTCGCCTCTGTCGAGGTATCTTCATAATCATGACCTTCATTGAGAGTAGACGTGTTAGCATTGGAGTTTTGTTGAGCAACAATTGACTCAGAGCTAGACGCTGTTTGCGGCTTTGACAAGTCAGTCTTTTTAGCAGTCATGGATGGAACATCTTTCCCCTTTTTAGCCCTTTTCGCTATTCTGATCATTTTGGCTGCATGTGCTTCTTGAACTTGCTCTTCCTGAAGTTTAAGAAGAATTTCGCGGATCTTAGTACGAAATGCGGGTGCATCATTCCGATCACCATCAACTTCGTACTTGTTCTCCATGATATCTTCTATGAAACTATCAGGGCGTTCAAAGAATTCCTCAATGTAGCTTAGCAGGTACACGCCACAATCACAAAAATTGCCTTGTACAGGAAGGCCTTTACCTAAATATCTTCCTGTGGCACTGTCTTTGTCCTGTGTTTTTGCCGCCATACCAATGGGTTTAGGGGGTGTGATTGACATGCTTTTCTTCGCTTTAATTTCGGCGACCATGTAATCTTTTAGATTGACACAAGTATTGGAGTGTTTCAAAGCGAGTGAATCAAAAGTGATAATTCTAGGCTGCTTTGGGTCATATGTGCGAATTGGAGGAATTCTTTTGCCCTTTGCTACAGAGTTTGACTTTGCCGGTGGCGAGCTCGATTGTGCTAGATTAATTACATCTGTGGCAAGCTTGTCTACGGCGGTATCGTCCGGATTCGTCCCCACTGAAGCAGATGCCAGTCCGTGGTTACTGGGTGGGAATTTTTTGGCAGGTTCGAGATCGTTTGGGGTTTCGATTTGCTTATCCTGTGCCAATGACAACTCTCCAAAGCTATCGTCGACACCAGTCTCATCCTTATCACTCACAGATCTCATGGGGGTAGACTGCGGTGATTTAGAGGGTGTAGTGAGCTTGCTTGCGCTGCGAGACTCTATTTCTCCATCCTGTTCAGATTGCACATCATTCTCGATAGGTTGTGGCGACTGCTTGATCTCCAGGTTGAGAAGGCTGGGTGCATTGCATATGATCGCCACATACCAATGGGTGTTCTCATTGACGGGAACAATAATATAATCATAAGATAGAAGATCCACTTTCGCTGTCCATCTCTCAACAGCCTCATAGTTGATCCCCTTCTTGCCCTTTGCAGCCTTTGTTAAACTTGCGTAAAAAAACGTGTTATGGACATAAACACGAGTAGAGAGCTCGGGATGTTGCTGCTCGAGCCAGAGGAGATAGAACATAATAAGATTATCGTTCAAAAATTCTCCATTGTCAAGCCTATAGATATCCTGCTTATCAACGGTAGCGGTCTTCTTACCGCTCTTAGGATATACCACAGATTTCTCCCAATTCTTTTCCCAGTCCCTATTGACCTCTGACCAACGTTCTGGGCTGAGACTTCTTGCCTCAGAGGTCGGCTTGTATGTCTTGGGTCTCTCGGCGCTTCGTAATGAAGCACGCGTTCCATTGGTTTTGCTCGATGATGCGTAAAACTCGGCGGGTTCAATTGGATCGGAACTATCATTCTTATGTTGTTGCGAGGGCGGTATCTGCATCTTTTCATGAATTTTTTGCCTCTTTGCTCGTGAAAGACTATGATGTTGTACATGCTGATCTTCGTGCCCGACTAATTGGGTTCGCTGTGCTGTTCGTCTGTCTTGATTTGACGTCAAGAGTTGAAGATCTTCAGGCTGACTTTCGGCTCTGCTTCGTTTGTTGAGTGCTTGTCCAGTTCTCTTGTCGAGGTTTTCGCGGGCATGAAGAAACCTTTGATCGATTTCAGAACTAAAGGATTTCGTTAGTTGGGGAATCAACAATGAGGATCAGGGTTACAAACCTTTCCACCCATTTAAATTCAGCATCTTTTAGGAATAGCTCGATCGACTCGAGGAAATTTTGAATTGCTAAAATTCCGGAAAATTCTATGAGCATATCGGCGTCTTTCATGAGACCAGATTCTTGAGGTTTTCGGATGACCAATTTACAAGACTCACGTCCAATCATTATTTTTTGGATAGTACTTGCTTTGATAGAGAAATCTGGAATGATCTCCTTATCTTTCACAAGTCTAATCACTCCAGATTTATCCAGACTCAAGCACCGGTTCTGCATTTGACCTGGCCGAAGCCAATAAATCGTTGGTGAGAAGAGGCTTTCAACCCTGAAAGATTTCCTAGGATCCCGTTGTTGTAACTTTTGGTCGTCATGTTTACTACTACCCCATTTCGTCATGTCACCCCTTCTATCACGGCTCGATTCCATGTCGATATCATCCTCACCGTCATTGTAATTGACTTCCGGGTTCTGCAGTGGTTTGTTGATCCGCTTTACATGCGGTACCTCGGGTGGGTTTCCTTGCGAGAGCTCATCCTCGCTACCGTCCTCTAGTTTCACCTCTCCCAGTACACGTCTCTTTTGTACAGAATTGGATGGAATGCGCCTTTCGAGTTGCGAATTTGAGACGTACGACGATTTTTGGAGCTCGCTTGCCCTCGAACGTGGAGCTTGGTGTGCGATTGCGAGGTGTGAATTGCTACTAGACGGAATTACAACTCGAGGGCCAATTTTTGAGGTAGAGTGTGGAGCCTGCAGCTCATCTTCTTCATTCGATATAGGGTCTCTGATGTCCTCCAGATGTGAATTGCTTGCAAGTCTCTTAGCGTTTGTGGTCTGTTGTGCTTTAGAACCAGCGTTTCCGTGAGTATGACCCTGGCTTTCTGAATGGTGGTCAGAGTTAACTTTATGCCTCTTGCGCTTCTCCTTTCGCGGCTTCACTAAGTCATTGACCGCTTGGTATTCAGCTACGGTGTACGACTCAAAAGCCTTGACTTTTGAGCAAATGCCATTTTCTTGGTGAGGCGAGCTATTGTACTGACTCTGTATAGGTATCTGGCTCACAGGTCCCTGGCCCTGATCTGCTTCATGCTCAAACTGGTTTGGCCCGCCGCCTGTTCCATTGCTTAGAAGTGCTTGCTCTGTTTTT